GTGTTTATTAAAAAAAAAAAAAAAAATAAATTATATATACACGGATTTTCAAAATCCGTGTTTAGTTTCAAAATCCGTTTTAATCTTACTTAATTAACAATAATCATGTAATTAAGGAAACACGGATTGTGAAAATCCGTGTTTTGGTCAAAATTAGTCAAACACGGATTTTCAAAATCCGTGTTTCTATGAAGACTAGTCAAACGCGGATTTTCAGAATCCGCGCGTTTGATATTTGTCCACACCTTTTTTTTTTTTTTATTTTTGTCGACGGATTTTTTGTTTATTTTATATAAATAAATGATTCATGATTATCGACCTATATATTGTTTGGTTGACTAACCTGACAATTTATCCGAAACTTATATTCCTAATTGGTTTGGTTCCTTGCTTTCATTCCATCATTGTCCAAAATATACTTTATACACCACCCTATAAAGTCACCAATATTCGGGGCACATCTTTTAATCTATAAATAATAAATCAAATTATCAATTCATTTTATACTATCCATTTCTAGTAGTGACCAAATATTTTATTAAAATGAGATATAGTTATCTAATTTATAAAAATATATATAATTTTTATAATTTTAATTATCATATCAATTTATAAATATTTTAGCTCCTCGATTTCAAAGAGAATCTGCCTGCCACTGCCACATATAGACTACAACGAAACATTTATGATGAAAAACAGAAAAAGGAAAAAGAACTTAAACTAACCTTTGACTAATCCCTGCACATTTGGCTTATGATCCGCTCCCGAGAGCCTCGTGACTCACCAGCACTAACCCAGACTCAGTTCACTCGCTTCGCAACTCGGTGAGTCATCTCAACTCGCTCTTGTGTACAAGCATGCGTTGCTCAATTGCTCTCCATTTTCGCTGCTGTAGTGGTACTTTTACTTGCATGTTCACCCTCGCCTTCAAATTTACATTCAGATATGAAATTAATTTGGCGAGTAAATTCAGTATTTGTATGCGCATTTTGAAATTAATTTGACGAGTAAATTCTCAGAACTCGTATATGTAGTTGCATTTATATAGTGCTCTCCATTTTTGCTCCTGTTTGGCCTTTTTTTTTTATTTACAAAAATATTTTGAGGAAGTCAAATTTAAATTTAGCCCTTCGTTTTGGGTGCGTTGTGCAGATGTAGCCGAGTGTGATGACTGATGAGGTTGTCCCAAGTTCTGCTCAGATCCCGAGGTTCGTCAATTTTTATAATTATTAGAACTTTATTTATTTTCTTTTGGGTAAACGAGGAATGTGGAGGGATTGTGCAAAATTCTGCTTTAGATCCTGTGGGTTGTAAGTTTTACTTCTGCCTGTTTGGTTTAGTTCAGTTCTGTAGAAGAATTACAGAAGATATAAAGAGAAATTAGCTGAATTCGAGCAGTATATTTATTCAACGGAATTTACAGAATGCAGCTTACAGAAACAGCTGAAAAAGTGTTGTAAACATTATGTAGATACAGTATTCTTTTGGTAAAATTAACATGGATAGAGAGATTTAATTCTTCAGAGTCGCCTTTAGGATTTTGATGATTTGACCTATTATCTTTAGAGAACTTAGATGTTTGGTCTGTGTTTTGACAAAATAAGGTGATTATGATTGCACACAGCTGCTGGCCGTATACAATATACATATAGGGTTATGCAAGAACATGTCAATTGTGGACTCTAGTGACATTTAGTGCTACAATTGCCGTATAAGCATTGATATTGTAGTTGTTGATTTGATGTGTCAAATTTTGCACGAACCTAACTGAAAAATCCTTGAACTCTCTATCATGCCAATAGCCCATGATCCTAGTTGGTAAAATTATACAATGCCAATCAAAACCGGGCTATAATGTCCAAACATGTTAAAAGTTAAAATGCAATAAGATATTAGACCGTAGTTCAACGTAGCTGCTTAAACCACTAAATGTCGTTGTTCATTCATTTGATTCCCAGGTTTCTAAAAAAAAGTGACAATTGTTATGGATGGAAATCCCGTTTAACATGCTGATACATTTTCAGTGAGTTTGTGAGTCATGGGAAGCTTGGATGCGCATGGTTTAGATGAGGGCACTTTCATCCGCAAGTCCAAAGCTAAGGAGTTTGAGGAGAAGACGTATGAAGAGCTTAAGAACGGTAAATATCAGGTCAAAAAATCCGGCAACGCCTACACGTGCCCTTACTGTTTCGACAAACGAAAGCATGATTTCAAGTACAAAGATCTACTGCAGCACGCCAGTGCCATTGGTGCTTGCACCACAAATAAAAGAAGTGCAAGAGAAAAGGCTAATCACCTTGCCCTCGCAAAGTATTTGGAAAAAGACATACCCGTTGAGGAGGGCCCTTCAAACCCACTTCCCGAGGTAGATTTCCTTGCAGACCACGACCATCACGAGATTTTTGTATGGCCGTGTATTGGGGTACTTGTCAATATTCCAATGGAACTTAAAGAAGGCCGATATGTGGGGAAGAGTAGCTGTGAGCTCAAGAGTCAGTTTGCAAAGAGAGGATTTAACCTGATGAGGGTGCAGCCCTTGTGGAATGCCCAAGGCCATTCAGGGACCGCAATCGTTGAGTTTCGTAGGGATTTGTCCGGATTTACCAATGCAATGTGTTTCGAGAAAGTTTACGCGGCTCGTCGTCACGGAAAAAGCAATTGGCTGGTAAAGAATTCGAAAAAGTCGGGCCTCCACGCGTGGGTCGCTCGAGCAGACGATTATAACGCTAATAACGTTTTGGGAGAAAATATTCGCAAGATTGGGGAACTTAGGACATTGTCGGATATCATGGGAGAGGAAGCTCGGTTAAGTTACTTATGCCCTTACTGCCCTACCACGAGCAAGCGAAATTTCCGGTTTAAAGACCTCTTGCAGCATGCGAGTTCGATCGCGAGTTGTGACTCGAAAAGAAGAACCGCTAGAGACAAGGGGAATCACCTTGCCCTTGCAAAATACTTAGAAACATACGTAATCGATGATGATTGGTCTGCTGCTATGCCTTCGGATGAGTTACGTCCCGTACTAAACTGTAACCGTATTGATGATGTGGCGAAGGCTGAAGTGGATCGGCATGCGGACAATGAGCATGATGAGATGTTTGTCTGGCCATGGATTGGCATCATCGTCAATATTTCTACTGTAGTTAAGGATGGCCATTGTGTGGGAGAGAGTGGTAGTAAATTGAGGGATCAGTTGACAACTAGAGGATTTAGTCCGACTAGAGTTCGGACATTATGGAATCTTCATGACCATTCAGGAACTGCTATTGTCGAGTTCGAAACAGACTGGTCGGGGTTCACAAACGCCATGTCATTCGAGAAAGCTTATGAGGCTAGTCATCATGGGAAGAGCCATTGGTTAGCAGAAAACGAGGAAAAGTCGGGCCTTTACGCGTGGGTTGCTCGTGCGGACGACTATACTTCTAATGATATCATAGGAGAAAGTCTTCGCAAGATTGGGGATCTGAGAACCATATCCGATGTCATGGAAGAAGAGGTTCGAAAGACGAAGAAGCTTGTCAGCAATTTAACCAGTGCTATTGAGGTGAAGAATATGCACTTGCTGGAGATGGAGAGTAAGTTCAAGGAGACCGAGAGCTCCCTTCGCCAGTTGATCGTGGAAAAGGATAGCATCCATCAAGCTTACAATGAAGGTTCCGTACGCGTAAAGTTAAAATTCATTATCCAAATAATACTCTGATAGAATTTACTTTCATACATGAGTTTATTCCTTTGTTGTTCACCAGAGATAAAAAAGATTGAGGCTGGCGCACGAGATCATTTTAGGAAGATATTCATTGACCACGAGAAGCTGAAATCACAATTAGAATCTCAAAAGAGAGAGCTTGAGCTCCGGGGTCAAGAACTTGTTAAGCGTGAGACGCATAATGAGATGGAGAAGAAAAAGCTTGCGGATGAGCTTGAACAGGTTCTGCACAACATCTCTTAGATTTGCTTTACTCTTTTGTTTTGTTGGCTTAAACCTATTGTCAGAATGCAGCACTAAGGTCCATTTATTCTGTAAGACAAGCCATTAGCATGTAGTGATGGTGGCTCACTTCAAGGTTGCTAGGAACCAAAAAGGGTCCTTACCGATAATTTTACTTTCATGTAAAAGGATATCGTTATAAACAGGTCATCTTTTTTTCTGAGATTGTGGAAATTCCCAGATTGCCCTCCTATGTCTTTCAAATGACTGTTTTAATGAGAACAACAAATTTGGCCATGCACCATCCTCAGTAATTTTCCGTCCGCTTTTCCATCTCGGCAAATATGCATATGTAATGCCTTTTACCTTTCCAGAATGCCGTGAAGAATTACTCTCTTCAAGCTGCTGCTGAGGAGCAACGTAAGGCCGATGAAAATGTAATGAAGTTGTCTGAAGAACATAAGGTACTTATTTGTTCTTGGTACCATTCGAGTGGCTTCTGGACTTGCTTCTGTATTTGAAGCTAAAAACATTTACGAGAATAGGAATGCTTGCTTGTTTTTGCCATTTTCAGAAGGAGAAGGACAGACTCCATAACAGGATCATTCTACTGGAGAAACAACTGGACGCCAAACAAGCAGTACAGCTTGAGATTGAGCAGTTGAGAGGTAAACTAAATGTGGTGAAGCACATGGGAGATGAAGGCGATTTAGAAGTGTTAAACAAAGTGGAAATACTGCTCAAGGCAATGAGAGAGAAAGAAGGAGAACTTCAAGAACTGGTCTCATTAAACCAAACTTTAATTGTGCAGGAGCGCAAGATAAATGAGGAATTACAGGATGCTCGGAAAGAAATGGTTAATGTGAGGTTTCTAATCGTTTTACATAATATATAAAAAAAAAAAAGAAAGAAAGAAAAGGGAATTCATACCTTCAAACATTTACTTTATTTTGATTTGCATTAGTACATATTAGCTGTGCCTCTGTCGTGATAAACTAGGCATTGGTTCTTTACTGGGTTGACTGAGATGCCAAGCTGCTAAATCATGTGGTTCATCAGTATTGCTCAACTACCCCAACATACAAAGATTCGTGAATTAACATTGATATAATAGATAGGTTAATGAATAAATCATTGTTATATGTTTGTTGTAATCAATGTTCCCCATATCCTCCCAGCCAAATTCAAGAAATAGGCTATAACTTATTTGCTGTAAACAAAGCCTTTTGACGAATTTGTGATTTGATGTATCAGCTTCAATAGCTTTCGATTAACTATAGAGTTGAATTTTTCAAAATTTCTGCATTTTTTGCTGTAATGTTCATTGCAGCTAGACAGAATTCTCTTTATTATTTGCTTTAATGGCCTTCTTTTTTAGGTACAAGTATTATGTAAGTACTAAAGGAAGTTGCTTTTGCAGGGCTTGAAAGAAATGCCAATAAAATCTCATATTGGTATCAAGAGGATGGGAGAACTTGATAGCGAGCCATTTTATCAAGCAATGAAGAGAAGATACAATGATGCTGAAGCAGATGAGAGGGCTACTGAGTTGTGCTCTCTGTGGGAAGAGTACCTTAGGGACCCTGAATGGCATCCTATAAAAGTGGTTAACAGTAATGGTAATTACCAGGTAAGCAGTCGAAGCATATTGGAAGTAAGTATTTTTCTATGAAGGGCTTTATTATGCTTTTATCAGCTTGAGAAGTTAGATACATACATCTCTCAATGAATTCTTACAGTTATTAGACACGGCTATGAATTCTTAATAAAAATCAATTAAATTTTATTTTCTTAGTACATGATTAATTTTGCATTGTTGAAAATTGAACAATTTGGTAGAGAAAAAAAAAAAAGAAGAAAAAACCGTTGCTCACATCATTGATATTGAAGTCGAGCAAATCATCGCTTTTGTGTCAATGTTGTTTTTAGGAGTCATCTGATAACCACGTTCATCTTTAAATTGTAACATTGAAAAAGAAATTGAAAAAAAAAAATAATTGGTGATCCAAACTAAAGTTGAGTTTGAGAGCCATGTCAGCAAAATGAAGCGTGATCTAATATAGAACTGACTTTTATTTTATTCATTTATTTTTCCTTTTGGTTGGTTAAGGCTGTGATAAATGAAGATGACGAGAAACTACAAGACCTGAAGAAGAATTATGGAGACGAAGTATACAATGCTGTGACATCAGCTTTGTGTGAGATAAACGAATATAACCCGAGCGGAAGGTACATAATTTCAGAACTGTGGAACTACCATGAAAGTAGGAGAGCTTACCTTAAGGAAGGAGCTGAGGTCCTACTGATGCAGTGGAGATCCTACAAGCGAAAGAGGTGAATCGATTATGTAATTTGGTGTATTATTGTACTAACTTAAAAAAGTTTAAGAGAAATAAACATCATATTATATATGGTGGCTCCACTCTTATTGAACTTGTGACAGATGTAGAATTAATTTAATGTCTTGTTTTTATTACATTTATTCTTGACTTGGATGCTGATTTGTCAGATTCTTGTGTACTTGATTTGATATAGATTGTGTAACGATTATTTGAAAATAATTCTAGGAATTAATAAATCTGGCTCTTTCTCTATTGTTTGCGACTGTTTTAGAATGATCTGAGTTTGAGTTTGAGCAGCTTGTTTTGACTTTAGCTATATCTCAGTAAGTTAGAGAGGTCCATTCAACTAGCTGAGAACATTTATGGTAGCTAAAGTTAGTTTGGGAGATCATGTGCATGTTAGTTAAAATCGTTTACAGTTGTCTCCGTAATATTCTAATTTTATGATTTATCTTTTAAATGTCAGCACACATTTTTCAGATAGATCTAATGCAAATATCATCTTATTAAAACATTCATTACATACACATATTTATATATGACTGTTTGTTGTCTCTGTATTCTAATTTTGAGTAAACTCTAAACCATGAGATTATGTTGTGTTCGTGTCTCACTATGGTGTTTTCTTATTGTCAATTTTATTTGATTATTAACAAATAATAAGTCAAAATTGAACTAAATTAATTGTTTCATATGTTTCATGTCATGTTGTGTTCATTGTCTCATCTATCTCGGTAATTAAATTTTCTAAAGGTTTTGTGTTCGTATTTTATTCGTGTGCCACCCATTATGACCCTCAAATTATTTTTAGATGGATTTAGTAAATAAGATGGTACTTTTTTGGCCACACCTAAATTGTGAGTCAAGACAACGTGCAGCTTTTCTCCCCTTCCACTCCTTCTCCCCGAGGGGTAAGGAGAAGTGAAATTATGAAGCTGAAGTTTTAAGAGATAATTACCCCTCAGACGGTTAGTTTTTATTCTATTTCCCAAAGGACGAATGTTTGTTTGTTATTCCTTTTAACTGGTACTTGGTGATTTTTATTCCACTATAGAGAATACTCTAGTTAATGTAAAAGATATTGTTTCCTAATACGTTTAATGCCAAGATCAAGCTATTAATGTGATTTAAGGGTCTAATTTCCATTTGTCATTGATTTTGACGACAATTTTTTTTTTCTTCTTCTTTTCTCAATTTAATGAGGTTGACGAGATGCTTTGAACTCTGAATTGTGTACATCGATCGACCAAGTTGACACTTGCTAGTTTATTTGTGTTTTAAATATATTTTATTTTTGATTTATTTTTATATGCCAGGTTCATGGTTGATTTAAGATTGACATTTATTAGTTTAGTTTTGATTTAAAAATATTCTTTCTTCTTCTTCTTTTTTGGCTCGTGTGTTGATGATAATAATATTTGGGAATTTGATGATGAGATTGAGAACAAGACATTTATCTACTTGAAGAACAAATTTGATAGATTGTAATTATAAACTATACATAAATTTAGAGTATGCATTCTTATATACTAAACTGAGAATAAACCATATATAAATTTACATGTTTGTGTGTAAAAGAATATTAATTTGATGTTTATTGATTGTATATTTTTGTCTTATCTATGGTTTATATTCCTTTTTTTTCACTTGATGTTTATCTTGAGTTGAATTTTTTTTGTTATTAATTGTATTTTTTTTTGTCTTATCTATGGTTTATATTAAGTTTTTTTTGTCTATTTAATTTTTTATAAATGAGTAAAAAAATTAGATAATAAACATAAAATACACTGAAAATTAATTTTTAATAAAGTAAAGAGATAATGCAATAAATTTAAGATAAACTGAAAGTAATCTAAAAGAATTCACAGAACATCATGAGCGTGATTTTCAAATAAAAAAGACCTTGGGAGACTTAAGGGAAATAAAAACGTCTTTGTGTGTATAAGAGTATTAATTTTAACTATAATAAACCAAAAATATACTATATATAAATTTTCCATGTATAATAAACTGAAAATAAATTATATATAAATTTAAATTTACAGTTTATATTCTTGTAATGGTTCATAAATCTATAATAAACTAAAAATAAACTAGATATAGTTTATAGTAGAAAATCTGGTTTATGAGATAAACTAATAATAAATTAAAAATAAATTAGATATAAATTTATAGTAGAAAATATGGTTTATAAACCCAACATTAAATATAAATCTATACAAACAAAGGCAAACAAAATTTGCATCTTGTAATTTATATGAGTGAAATATCAACACAATTTTACTGGATTTTCAAATTCTGTATTCTGATTAAACATTTTTTCTTGATAAAACCAACAAATGAATTTTCCAAGCATCCCAAGAGATTCGTCCGTTTCTATTTGGCAAAGTTTCTATTTATTAAATTTGTCAAGAACATCTGTTATATTGATTTGCGGAACAACTAAATCACTTTGGTTAGTTGCCTTTTTTAATTTAACTATCGTATTAGGGGCAGAAAACCACATTCATGGGAATGGATTTGGTATTGAAACCTTTCTCTCGTGAATTTTTTATTTCACTATCCAAGTTTTAAAGATAAGTGGGCCGTCGGATGCTCAGAAGAAGCCCATATGCAATAGGGCCCATTAGATTTACCGGAAGCGCCAGTGTCCGGGAAAACATTTGCACTTTTAATTTATGTTTTTTCCTGACAGCAGATAAACGAAACAAGATATGCGTAGCCACTCATTTCGGTATCTTAAAGGCATTGCAGTTGCTCGAATATGGGGCCCACTTATAACTGGCGCCGTTACTACGTATTTTGTCCTTTCATTCATCCGACTAACGTTTCCAAGATTTTGGATGCCGCTAAATTGCAATATTAACTTGGTTACAAACGTATTTCATTAGCTTTTTTAATCTAATTAATTTTGAAAAATACTCCATATAGGAGGGTTTTTTAGGAGGATTTTGAGAAGAGGAAATTCGTAGAAAGATTTTTTTTAAAAGAAAAAACTATACAAATCATTATTTATCAAATAGTTATTTACAAACAAATTAATATATTCTGCTAGTTAGATCATCTACAATCTACTATCCGCTATCTACCATCAGGCTATTACAGTCCACTATCAGCTATCTGTTATCTGCCATAAGTTAATGGCCAAACAGAACCATACTTTTGTTAGTCTTGTCATTTTATTTAGAGTATGTTTAGTTAACATCATAAGTTAGCTTATAGCTTATTTAGTAAGTTTATAAATTTTTTGTATTCAAATAAGTTTGGTTTGGTAGGACGAGTTTTTGTAAAAAGTTAGAACTTATCTCATATAAGTTTCCTTAGGCAGCTTTTCAAAAAGAAAATCCATTAAATTTTATTTTTACTTACTTATCAGCTAATTTTATCAAATACTTTTATTTATTAGTTAACTTTTCAGACATTTGTCATAAGCTAACAGTTATGTACTCGAAATTCACTTATAAGTTATCAACTAGCTTATAAGAAGGAAAAGGTCGAGGTGAGCAACGAAAATCGAGATGAAAATCGGGTGTATTCGTGGTATGGGAAAAATTACGAAAATCGACACCGTGAAGCAAGGCCACCCAAGAGGATGTATAATCCAGATTATGATGTTACATGATTTTGAGAACAATAAGAGGTAGAGAATGTATAATATATTCTTTATTTCTTTTATAATTCTATACATTTTTACTGTTGGATTATTAAATGTATGATTAATATTGTTCGTTCTTATTTATTTTAGTGACAATCATTTTTAGTACCCATTCTATATTAAAAAAAAAAAAAATTATATATATTTAGTTTTCTTTGACAGAGTAATTAAAACATGTGTCTTAAAAAGTGGAATTTGACGAGACTTTCATTTTTCAACTTGGCTTATGCGAAAAGGACCTCGATGTTTTCTTATTTTTTATTAGTATACATGTGCCTTTTATTTTTTATGTCTTTTTTTTTTTTTAATTATTCAACTCATGTTAGATGTTACGTTCCTAATTTATTGTTGTTCATTCCATTTTGATTTTGATGAAAATCATATAAAGTTAATTGTCATTTTCATATAATACATATATAGATAGATCTATACTATATGGANTATATATTACATTTTAATGATTTATTGCTTATTAGAAAAGGCATTGTATGTCTATTAACAGTATTAAATTTAGCGAATGCCTCTTTCATAACTTGCCTTGTCCAAATGTATTAGGAACTTAATTTTCAGAATTTACAATTATCATTCTCATAAAATAAGTATTTATGTAGAATGTTAAAAAATGAAGTTGTAACAAAATAAGTATGAATTTAAGACAAATTATTCCTCTGAAAAATACTCGCCAAAAATTGTCTAACCACATAACTAAACTTTTTCTAACAAAAGTATGATATAAATTAGTGGCTAACCAATGTTAAGTCAGATAAATACAACTGTAATTTTCTAAAAATAAATAGCATTGCTGATTTAAATAAACAATATTGAATTTATTTAAGCCAACAAAACTTTTCAAAGCCTAACTGTCATGAACATTAACGTACAAATAGAACATGCACCCTCTCAATTTAAGACGGCCAAGGCACATTAGATATGTATAATAATAATTCAACATGACATTGTTGGTCACATGGTTCCCAATTTTCTATATTTCTATTATAGTTTTTCTTCTATTTTTATTATTTTTTTTATTTTTATATTTATGACACTTGTTTTGTCATTTGTGACAAGTCGTATTCATATACCGTCTTCATTTCACAGAACTCAATTTTGGGGAAAACATTTCCTTTTAACGACAGTTATATATAATTTTAGGTTGGAATATGCTTCTACATTGTCTCGACAAGAGTTAAAAAAATAAAATAAAAAATGTCTCACAATAGTTGTTCTATAATTTTAAGTCGCAATACGCTCATCCCTAGAGAATTTCAATGACATGTTTGTTACTATATGCAGTATGCTATTTCATTAATTATATTGTTTTTGCACCTTACAATGCTAAAGTGAAAACAATTATTGTGATATTATTTGTACATCTTTGATCTATCTATTTATATTTTCATCCACCCAAAAATTATAATCAAAATCTCAAAATTGAGTTGCACAATAGTCGAGTCGAGTCAAGTATTGACCTTATCGAGTTAGTCCTGATTTTTTAACAAATATTTGAGCTGGACAATCCATACATCTTAAGGTACGACTCGACTTGACTCGACAAAAAAAACACAACTTCTCGAGTTCAATTCATATTTGATCAGTTCAACTTTTGATATAGTTCGACTCAAAATTCAAATTCAAATTAAAGAATTTCTGGCTAAGGGTATTTAGTTATGTGTACTCAAATGGCTTGTTGAATACCCAAGCGTACAAACTAAAAACTCAAGCTCGACCTTGAGTTCGAATTCAATTCGAAGTGAATCGGGTTTGACTAGAGTTTGGTCAAATTCTGAGATTGGATCGAGCGCTTACTAATTTCTTGATTCATTTGCAGCCCTATCCATAACACAACATTTTCATTGCTCAACGATTTCACGGACCATTTATTTATATAATGTTTGCTTATGAGGATATAAGTAAATATTTCATAATAGTTAATATATATATATATATATATATATGTAAATACATCACATAATTTATAACAACTAGTAGCGATCTTATGTATATGTACATAATATTAAAATTTTAATCTAGATAATTGACATAACACATTTTACAAATTTGTTTATTAGTAAATGAACAATATAATACAAACTATTAACTATATATGAACCACTATTATTGGTTGCATAAAAAGAAATACATAATGTAAGTTTAATAGGCATCACGTTCAATTAATTAGCTAGAAAAATATTAAAATGATATTTTTATTCCCTAGTTAGCCCTTTTGAGCTTTTGCCTATTTTCTTTGAATGCCACATATTGAGCTATATCTATATATTTTTCTTGTCATTTACTTGAGCATTTAGGATTATATCATGGGAAGAGGATGAGTTATTGTTTGTGGTTTGGATAAAGGGAAGACGTGAATGGGAGTGTAAGTTGATGGGGGAAGTTGAATGAGGTTGAAAGAGTTGTTTAAAAATAAAAAGAAAGAAAAAAGAAAGAAAAAAGAAAGAAAAAAAAAAGAAAAAAAAAAACAAACCAACCAGATTGGACACATGTTTACCGGACAATTTTGCCCCTGCTACCTGTTCAACAGGTTTTAATGCTCAACTAAAAGTGGTAAACCAGTATAAAACTCTTAACCCACAAAGGGGTTTAAGCAATTTGCCTTTGGTTTTTTAGAGTTGGGTGGATGGTTGGTTTTCTTTCCCAAACCCAAATTTCATCTCATTTTCAAATTTTCTGCTTTCATGTTAAAAAAAAAACTCCATTTTCATTTTTTTTGATTTTTTTTTTCTTTCTGAAATTCAGGTGTAGTTTATCTGCGTGACGTTCGTGAATTCGTGTTTTCCTGTTGGAATTCTGTACACAAGCGAGGGAATTAGAAGCGCTGTCGTTGTTGAATTTCTCCCCATAGTCGATCAATCAAATCTGGTAACTTGTGCTGTATTTCGATTCTCATCTTCTTTCTGGATTTCGAATTCTTGTGTGAGTTGGTGTATTTTTAAGTTTTTTTGGGGCCTCTTTCGTTGATTTGATTTTCGCGATGAACTGTGGAAATTGTGTTGATCATGCGGAGATCTGATCGATTTTCGCTTTCATTTTTCTCATTTTCCCTCTTTGTTTGGCATGAGACGGTCTGTTTGAGCGTGGATAAATTGACCGAGTAGCTGATCTAGAATTTGAATTTTACTGATTTTTAATTTTTGATTTTTTTTTTATATTTTTGCAATTTCTGTTTCATGTATTTCCCATTTCATGGAAATTTACCGATGGGGAAAACAGAGTTTGCAATTCGGAATTTCATCGGTTGATCGGAATTCAGATTTTTATATCTGGATCTGATGGAAGCAATATTCTACTATTAGAACAAATTGACATTGAAAATTGCGAGAATATTCCTCTATCTGTAGATCATTTATCTACGATTTACGGATCTTAGTTCAATGATGATCTTTTCGTGTTTCTTTTTTTTCTTTTTTTGGTTGATTAGCTTAACCCTTCAGGTTTAGGGTTTTACGTAATTGGCATCGTTGATAGGTATTCATGAATCATGATCAGGATCATAGATTTTCAAAATGTTCTTTTGAAAGAGGAACCATAATTGTTAACGCTACCAGATTTCATGTAGAATTTAATCTGATTTTGCAAATTCTTCTTACTGCTCTGTATTA